TTATTATTACGATTTAAGAGAAGGTTCGTTTGATAGCAAAAATGATATACACCATCAATTGAACTCAACTTTCAATATATAATCTACAATGATTTTACACCTTAATCTAGAACTAATGATGATAATAATACATAAAATTTGCTCTTGATCGACGATTTTTTGATTCGATTAAAACTTATAAGGCTCGAAAACAAGCAAATCTGTAAAATGTATAAACATTTTTAAACATAGTTTTATTATTATAATTTTGTAATTTGCATTGACTTTATCACCGATTTATTTGATTGATCATTAATGTCTTGCAAAATTTAAATCTATTGTTTTTATGTGTCTGCTTGCCCAAACAGGTTTTTGTATTTTTATAGCAAATACAAAGAATAAAAACACTTTCGAAGTTCACAAAATCAAAACACCATTTTATATTGAACTTATTTTTTTCAAAATTAATTCATCGAGTTTTGAAATAGTTCTGATTATTATGATTCATACAAATATTGTAAATGAACGTATATCACCTTGTTATTTGAAAACAGTTAACGTGGAATTATTTAAAGTTGATAAATTAAAGTATATTTTGAAATGACTCATATTAAAGTTAGTTTATATACGTTTATCGATGAAAAACATATTATTCATTACTTTGATGGATTAGTAGAGCTATTAAAGGTCATACTACTTTATTGCTATATTATATGAAAAACATATCAGTAAGGATATTTCTAAATTATTTGAGCTATAAAGTGGTGACCTGTTCTATGTAAGTAAAAAATATTCTTAACAAAAAATATTTTTTTAGGAAAATTTAAAAAATTGTTTCGTGATATGCTGAATAGTTTAGTAATGCAAGTAAATAACTCTTTTTTATTCAAAAATAAAGTAATATTATAAATAAGTTTACATATCAATATCCAAATAATATAGAGTATATACAAGAATTTTTGACTCTTGAGGAATTTACTGAAGTAATTTAATCTTATTTTTGGCACTGGTGACGCCAATTCAATAAATTAAATATTAGTCTAACGATAATTCCAGCTGACAAAAATTTGCATAACGATCTATGTTTCGAACATTTCGTATGATAAGATAAATAATTCAAGTACTTTGTGTTATTAATAGATTTAGCACCGTATGTGCTAAATTGTGTAAGTCACGAAATATGAAATCGTTTATTAGATGATTCGATACACGTAATCTGCAATGCGGGATTTATTAAATAACACGGATAGATTATGAATTTTAAAATAGACTCAGTTTTATTTCTTATTTAGATTGATTCCTCGTGATCGATTTTTTAAGAAATTTTGGAACCCCCCCTGATTTTTTGTGATTTTTTGTCAAATCCGCCCCCCTACTTACTTAAAAAACCTCACGTGATTAATGGACGCCCCCTTACAATTTTGTACTGTAAAGAGGATTGCTTAGGTTTCAAAATTATCCTCCTGTAAAGAATTCCTCAAAATTACTTTGAGGAATTTTTACGAATTTTCACTTACTTACTTCATTAAGGTTGTTTTTCAAGTTACATTTCATCTGATATTCATTTCTATTTCCTATTTGAGAATTAATAGTTATATGCCTCCATATTGAAAAATTACTTATGCTCATAATTGAGAGATTGTCTATGTTCCACAATCTATATAATTATTGAAAGCTTTGTATTGAAAATTTTCCTACTGAGAACAAGTTCTTTTGATCAAAACATTAGACTTCTTATAAGAAATATCTAACGGTATTAAAATTTCTTCTTCCAAATCATATTTTATCGGTTTACATCAATTTCAAGAATCATATTTAACGAAATGAAATAGCAAAATAAAATATCATTGCTAATTTATTTAACTAAATAAAATAGGAATTAACACTAGATTTACTTATATTGATTATATACCTATTTTTATTTAAGTGAGCCAATTTGGCTCATACAAATAATGGATTTTTTTAAAAAGAAAATAGGTAAGGCAATTTAAATGCTGTGTTTATTATAAAAAAATTCAAAATGATCATTTTTCACCACTTGATCAAGTGACATCGCCATTGTATGTATCAATGTACATAGTCATGAAATTTTTATTGAGTCTAGTGTTAAAGATAAATCGAAGTTCATTTTTAATTGAAAATATAGATCAAAATATGTTTCCAATTGAAAACTCTGACACTACTTCTTTCCTGAATCGAGTTGGAGTTTAACGCAACTCACAGACCTGCCTTAGGGCAGTACTACCCATTATGTATTATTAGTGTTAAAGGAAATGGGATTTTTGGAAAAATATGGAAAAAGTGTTCAGAAGATTCAAAATCAGTGGATGAGTTTAAGATTCTATACTATAAAATATCGTAATTTAAATGCGGATAATAGTCAATTAATGCATTATTTAGAGAGATTTTATGGTCAATCATCTTACAGGTGTGGTTTGGTGATTATCAAATTAGTCAACTAGGTATGTAGTACCAAATCGACCAGATTTAGTAATTACGACTTTTATATGCCAATAAATCGATTTATTTCATATTTTACATGACTATTTATATTTAACGATAAAAAATTGCTTGGTTGCACTTAAGTATGATTTTTTAATGATATTTATATACACTTCTAAAATTTACTACGTTATTTATTTCACAACGCAGTTTAGCGACATTATACATCTTATAATAATAATAACAATAATAATGATGTGATGTAGATTTGTTTGGCTACTCTATATTTTTATATGATCAAAATAAATATAGAATTCTTGAATTTTTTACTGCTACTTTCAATTTTAATTCATATTGAACTCCATATTTGATCCACTTTCTAAGATCTTAGTCCGAGATATCACATAATTATTTGCGGTCTGAGAAATAATTAATTAATCACTTTCTGAAGTGAATGATTACATACTACATTCTAAATACCGACGTAAATTTAAAATAACAATTTGCAAATATTCCAATTTAACCGGAGGCATACCTAATCTTGAAATAAAATGCCATGTACTTGGTAGAGTATATGCACCTTGGTAAAATATTGACACCTTGACTTTGTTCAAATATCTTATGTAATAGACTTGAATTGAAAGTTGATATGTACACATACTGTTGGATATATATATATATATATATATATATATATATATATATATCCAAAAGATCCATCCATTCATCAATTGATGTCGTTTCCTCGTCTAAATATTTGCGAACAATCTAGTTTTCTCTATATTATCTCCAGAATGTTTTATTCATGAGATACATTTAGTTAGATAGTTTGAAATTTGTTATAAATTCAACAAGTGAGCGTACTGTTGTTTTATAATTACTGTAATATTTTCTCACGTTTACTTCTGATTGTGAGAAAATACTTAATTTATTTTCAAATCGGTGGATGTGTTTTTTAATAGAACCGTGGAACCGGTCTGCTTCATTCTAAATTCACCATTGACTGGGCACATTAGACATCCAGTATATTATGAACAATATGAAGAATGCTGGTATTTTTTGCGATGATGGTATTTTGAACCGAAGTTGCCAAAAAAAAAAAATTATTCAACGCTGTCTTCTATGATTTTAAATTACGCAATTGATGTTTATTTAACAAACTTATTTTATACAAATTAATTTTTTTATATGTATTTTACCATATAATTATCAACTGTCCTTAGTTGACATCCAGGAAATTTAATAAAGAAAATATTTTAGGCAAATGACAATGAATAGAAGATACCAGCGTTACTTGTATTTTAAATGAAAAATAATATTAGGACTTGGTTAGAGTGAAAATAGCTTTTTATTTTAAATAAAAAAGATATATTAAATTAAATTTCTATACGTAGCAGAGTTCTATTCGGTTTGTCCTTTTAAGCCTTTTTACTTTTGGTTAATTAATTCAGATAGCAGTGAGTCTTCTTTTATTATTTCTTGGTGTCGTGATGAAGGATTCTGTTTGGAATATAATTACGTTGTAAAATAAAAGTAAAAGTCTAAATCTGAAACCAATTTTTAGAAACAAGGTACAGAACTATCTTCAAGCATTAAATCCTCAATTTTCTTGTTAGCAAGTTTGAATAAAAATATAAAACATGCGAAATTTTAACTCATATTGAAATTAAATTTCTTTATTCTATTAAAGCCTGAAGAAACTGTATAAATATATATGTATACATATTAGGGTGGTCCTTAATATGGACATTTTCGAATTTCCTTGCTGCCAAGAGTGCCAAGGGCTCAAATGGTTCCAAATTGATAAAAAATAATACTCTGAAAGTTTTAGCTCTTAATATTGTCTTTTAGATAGAGCGCAATTCAATCAAAGTTTTGTATGAAAATAGCATGAAAAAAATTTCAAAAATTCTATTAGACAAATTTTCACTTTTAATTCATTTGTCGCTAAGTTTTTATTTTTTTTTTTTATTTTTCAAATTTTTTTCCATGCTATTTCCGTACGAAGTTTGATTGAATTGCGCTCTATCTAAAAGACAATATTAAGAGCTAAAACTTTCAGAGAATTGTTTTTTTATTAATTTGGAACCAATTCAGCCCTTGGGAGCAAGGAAATTCGAAAATGTCCCTATTAAGGACCACCTTAATTTATATATATATATATATATATATATATATATATATAATATAACATTATAATATTTATTTTATTTGTTTCTCCCACTACGCACCTACTTATCATCAATTAAATTATGAGTATTTTGTTATCAATACAATGGATATTTAAAAAATATTTATTGTGCTCTTTGTTTTTAATACGATTGTCGAGATTAGATTAAATTATGATGTTATACGGATCATAAGTTAATACCACCACGGTTATGTAAAATTGTAAATAATACTAAAATTGTAAATCATCTGCAGAAGAAATAAAATATCATCATACGCAAATAGATACTCGATTAATCACTATTAATCTTTTTAGGCGTGATAATAAACGGTCTGGTCAATATATTATCTAACTAAGAATTTGATGTGTATTTAATGATGATAAAATTAATTATTAAATTTTTTTTCAGGTTTTATGTGCCTTACGACCTAAAAGCAATGTCCGAGTTGAAGCCTATCAAGATGAAGCCAGGCAATGATACAACTTTCGAGACAGATTATCAGTACTTAGGCTATACTGGTTAGTTTATTAATTTAATTTCAATTTTTGTTGAAATTTATAATATTCATATGATTTAGTATTTATGTGAAACATATATTCTGTTTCAAAATTATTGCGAATATTTGTGATTTTATTCAAAAGAAGCTGCACCAAAAAATTTCATACTAAATTTTTTTCCAACTCTCGAGCAAGTCACATTATTAAAACATGGATTTCCTAAGTTAATTCCGCAAAAAATCATTGTTAAAGTAGATTTTTATCGTAAGTACATTTTTATTACTCAAAATCATGAATATATTATATTCTAATATTGTCCAGGCTCATAATTCAAATGAACTGAATTCAAATTTCTGGCAGATGACAGTTCTCATGTATCAAAATGTTTCTAATGTTAAACAATGATATGTTGTTTTTTGCATTTTTTCCCATTTATTTCTACAATATTACTATAGTTTTATAATTCGTGACATCTTAAAAATTTTCCTTAACAAACTCCAAAAAGATTTATCAAAATTTGAGTAACCATGAAGAAGGAATTTGAATTCATACATCCGCACAGAAGAATTTTATAATCATTAAATATGAAATTTGATTATCATTTATTACCGATACATTTAATGTCTCTTCCACTTCCTTCTATAAATTCTCATACAATATCTTATATGCAGAATTAGGCCAACTAATCAGGTTATCTAAAAACCCGATGTTCTCATTAGAACAGCATTTATTTTAACATTTAATATGCATATACTGGAAGCCGTGGCATTTATATAATAGCTGTCGACATTTACCCACTACTGAATTTATTCACAATGTATGGAATATTATGAAGCGTGCAAAAACGCATAAAAATCAAGTTTTAAGTTTATGATAGATTGACATGAAATGTAATGATTGATAATTATGTAAAGTTTTTTGATGCGCTTATAAATTTAGTTGTGCGAAGACGGTACCAAAGAATTTTTCAGTTTCATTTATAAAACGAATATTATAAATGGAACCCTTTTCACTTGGCTGCCGCCGCTGCTCATGGGGCATAATCATATTAATCTCGCAATTAGCGAGTGGAAAGGACTACCAACAATTACTTAGAGAATGCTCTTAATAAAAAAAAATATTTTAGTCATTCTTACAATAAGATATATTTTTCTAATATGGACAAGTTTTCTATATAAAACTAATTCGTAATTAATGTTACCTTCACAATTTTATAAAACAGAATACTGTATACAAATAAAAGAAAAAAAAACGTCTAAAAAAATTAAATTATTGTCGATAATGAAGTTTCTGTATTTCAAAATGAGAACGATATAGTGGAAATAATATAGACTATTTCTGTCGGATTTTTATTTTAATCATACATTTATATTTATAAGCACTATCTAATTTTATATTGAAGGTTGTGGTTTCTGCAACGAAAATATCTCCAAAATTACCACTTTCTATGGTGTCGATCAAAAATGTCTTTGTGGTTTAGCCATATTTATTTCAAAATCAATTTTTAACATCTATAAAACTTTGTAAACCTATAGAAACTTTCTTAGGATGATTCTATAAGTGATAACTGTTCTATTTCAATATCTGTATCATTAAAAATTGATATTTTTCTAAATGTTGCGAATAAACTTAGTACTGTTATTTCACTATTCATTCACAATTACGGTAGTTCACAATTTGCATATCCAGTGAATAGATAAAATAGCATATTTGGGTGCATGGAGTTTACACAAATATTTAGCAAATACGTCCTAGGATAAAAAAAAATTTAAAATGCAGAACTATAAAGTTTTTTACTATTTTTTTCTATTTATGCACTTTGCCTAATCAGACTGATAGCCTTAATACGTTCTTGACCATACTTTTTAATCTGCCTTTATATCAGTACTTGTACTTAAAAGCATTTTTCACTGACCTAAATGCATTAGGTTAAATTAGGAGCATTAAGGAAATTAGATTTTGCTTGTGCGCCTTGTGTTTAAGGGTCGTTGCAAATAAAACTTGTAATTTATGGATAGCAATTTTACAAATGGTATATTTTTTCCAACTGTAGTTGAAAGTTTTAGTTAATACTCATATGTGCTACATGAATGTAATCAACAAGTTCTGGATGCAGTTTTTTTTTCTAAAAAAAGTGAACGTTCATGATTTTCTTTAATATGAGCATTATCTATCAATGTCTGTACTATGAAGTAATCTTTGGAGTGACTAATTTTTAAAACATTATTATAATGTTTTATAGAGCAAACTGTAAGTAAAATCATTTTTTGAAATATACTTCGCAATTTATAGTTTATATAGATAGACTAGTAGAGATCTTTTTAGATCTCTTGTTAATAGTATAGGTCTTTTTAAATCCCCTGCTTCTAGCAGAGAACTTTTCAGATAACTTGCTACTAGTAGAGATCTTTTTAATTCTCCTGCTACTAGCAGAGATCTTCTTAGATTCTCTGCTACTAGCAGAAATCTTTATAGATCTCCTGCTACTAGTAGAAACTTTTTTAGATCTCCTGCTACCATTAGAGATTTTTCAGATTTTATGCTACTAGTGGAGATCTGTGTAGTATCCTGCCAAAATTCTACATATGCCTTAGATAACAAGCAAACATTTTCCCATCAAATTGTTGATCCTTAGATAGTAACCAAAGCTGATTGTTGGCTGATAGAAAAAGTGAAGATCTTTTTCGATCTTCTCCTGCTAGTAGAGATCTTTCTAGATCTCGTGTTACTAGTAGAGATTTTTTTTAAATATCCTGCTATTAGAAGAGATGTTTTCAGTCTTTTATCAAAATTCTACATATGCTTTAGATAACGAGCAAGCATTTACCCAACTATATATAGAAATAGAACAAGTAGAGATCTTTCTAGATTCCATGCTACTGGTAGAGATCCTTTTATTTTTCTGCTAAAATTCTACCTATGCTTTAGATAACAAGCAAACTTGTACCCAAATTGTCGATCATTAGATTGTAACAGAAACAAAGCAGATTGTTGGCTGATAGAACAAATAGAAATCTTTTTCCAACTTCTGCTACTAGTAGATTTCTTTCCCTATCTCCTGCTACCTAGAAGAGATGTTTTCAGTCTTCTGTCAAACTTCTACCTATATTTTAGATAACAAGCAAACATTTACCCAACCTGCCATCAAATTAACGATCGTTAGATTGTAACAAAAACAAAGCAGATTGTTGGCTGATAAAGCGAAAAAGATAACACTGTTATTTCCTCGTTACATGAAAACAGTGTTGAATAACATAAAAAATGAAATCGTGACGATTTTGCACTATATGAAAGTCTTCGCTTTCGAATACGGAAAAGATACGTATAAAAGTACACATATAATTGTTTTATGATGCAACATCGTTATTGATATTAAAATATATGAGGTATTGATAATGGAATTTGTTTACACAGTGAACAACAAATGGGCTCTAGAAGAGTACATTCGACACTATAACTAAAACAAGAAATGTAGTTTTAATTTTACATGATTTTTTAAAAAAAATTTTTTTTCATTAAAAAACTGACTAATATTGTGAGTAACAATTTCTAATTATGAATGAAGGATTGTGTCTGGTTTGAATTAGTCTGCAGGCATTTACCATGTCATCCTTCTATTTATATTATTATTATTGTAACTATTAAGTTTTAGGTTTCTTATTTTGTTTCATATTCATTTTTTGCATTTTTTTCCAAACTTCCATGTGTTTGACTAAGACTGTTTCAGTTTTGATTGACAAAAATAAATTGTTACAATAAATGTAAAACCTAATTTATCTATTATTATCAATGGTTGTTTCACTAAATAACGGCTAAGGTTTTGCTTTCTATCATTTGAAAAGAAAATAATTGAACATTTTTTGTATGCATATGCATAAATAATAAATAAATAACCATCTAAACTAGATTATATGAATTTAAATGAATTTAAATTAATGTATGCATGCGTGATCCGGCCATTAAACCACTTATATAACAATAATTTTAATAACATGTAAGAGTGTAATAAGAAATGGACTGTGAATGCATTTGCAGGAATTTTGAATATGTTTATCATAAATATTCATAAGGACGTAAGTAAATTGATAGCTATCAAGTTTTATGTATCAATCAACTTGTAGAGCGGTTTCAATATGATTTATTTTTTAAATGAAATATAAATGCCCCAACTTTAATATTTGTTATAAGACGCTGACGTGACTTAGTAATAAGAGCTATAGGCTTCCAATCAGAAGATCCAATTTTATTATAGCTTCGGACGGCCTGATATAAGGCAGTAGTAACATTAGATTTAATTGAGAATGTAGATAGCAATATCCAAGTTTACAAGACAAAATGACCTTGCAAGGGCATTAGTGCAATTTTCCAATTAGAAAGGCAAAATTTTCATAGCAAAAGTACCATCACCATTCATTCTTGTCTGCCTTGGAGGCGTGCAGATACCGTTCTAGGGTTAAAAAGAACAATGTACAGTTTTATTTTTAATTTTATTTTACTTCACTTTCACTTTCAAAAAAGTGTTGTTTATATAATCCATTGTTGTCGACTAATATCTTAATAAATGTTATATCACATATAATTAAATTCATTATCATTAGACTGAAAAATACCATCGCTTTGTTTACTGCTTCTGCAGACACGCTCTGTCTTGATATGATATTTTATTCAGGAAAAAATCGAGAACTAATTTGCTGATAGCGTTAGTATGCTCACTATGCGGCATGTTTTATGATTAGCATATCTAATCTTGAATGCATATTCTGTTACGTAATATAACACTGCAAATAATGATTTAAGTGTTTCCCAGAAATTGTTGTCTATGGAATAAAAAACTACTTAAGATTCTACAACTTTTTTAAAGATTGAATACTACTCAGATAGTGAACTGGCTGATTCCCTTATAGACCCTATATTTATGTCTTAGGATTTACTGTGGTCAACTTTTCAAAAAAGTGGTAAAGCAAGTTGTCGTGGATTAGAAATCTTCATTTATTAAAGCAAATGTTAAATGCACCAACAGGATATTAGAAAGGGAAATATATATTATAAATTGTTCGATTTGAATGTGTCGCGATAATAAACAATCCAGTTAATCATACGCCGTTAATTTCGAACACGGGTTCACATTGTTTATTATTTATTTTCTATAATTACGTTTACTTAATATGTTTTTATTACAATCGTACACGTAATTTTGTTTATATCTGAGTCACTGATTGCGATTAAGTATGAATCAGAATTTTCTCAGGCAGCTAGTTTATAAAATTATGGATTATATTAATCAGTTGATATTTATCCACCGCCGAATTAACAAGTAATGCTCTTCACTTTAGATGAAATGACGGAGTCAGATGAACATGGTCTTCTTGGGAGAGTCATGGACCTCGAAAGGAAGGTTTTGTCTCAAGAAGATGAGCTGGTGTGTCTTCGGAGCACCTTGGCTGATATGTTGAGGCGCCTGAATCGCATCGACAACTTTCGCAGCACAGCCGAAGCCAATGGAACTACCGGCGCAAGAAATGTTGGCACTAACATACATTCATTGTCTGCTCGAAATTCTTTAGGTAAATAATAAATCATATTTGATAATAATTTTTTTTTATTCACTTTTATATTTACAACTGTCCAGTTCAAGACATTTAGCAAATTTATTGGTTTAAAATGGTCAGCCGTGATAGGGACATTGTATATTATAATGACATGCTGGAAAAACAACTCAATAATTATTAATAATAACTATTATAATAATTAGACATAATTTTAGACAAATATAAAATGGCGTTAGCCAGTTATCCTTAACTGGCCTTTGACAGACCTTATGATACAATAAAGCATATTTTTTACCGATTATTATTGTTCAATTGTGGGTACTTGCAGATCTTGGTATAAAAGCCAATTGGGTACATTTTTTTATAATTTTATTAGGCCTCGCTTTCTCCGAGCATTTAGCCACCTACAACATTTTATTCACTTACATTCTATACTATTTTGTTTTTATCTTATTCAATCGGTATAATCTATATGCAAATCTGCATTCTTCTTATTTTTTCTTCTTCAATTCCTTTCACTTATTTTTCTTTCAATTTGACTTTTTCATGCTCTTTCTTCAATTTTTTGCTCTCAATACGAATTTTAATTCTATTCAACCTTCCCCAATTGGGTACATATTTAGGAGCGTTTGCAATTTGTTTTAAAATGTTAGTTAGAAATCTTTGCAATAATGTTATATTAGATTGGTATACTGCGCCCCATAATTGGATACCGTAAGTCCAGATAGGCTTGATAATTGTGTTGCAAATTAGAAATTTATTAGTTGTAGAATCTTTCGACTTCCAGCTAATAAGCCAGTGCAATTGTCTCCGAATCAATTTAACTAGCTGTTTTTTATTATTACACTCACATGCCAAGTGGGTGTTCTATCTAAATTTAATCTGTATTTTCCTATCTTTGCAAGAATTCAATAAGTTTCCAAATTCGTGTTAAATACAAAATTAACTGAGCAATGAAAAACAGTTTTCAGTATCCGATTATACTAATATTATGATTATAAATTAGTTTTGTATCTATTATTATATTCTTCTAATTTATTTCTTTTTCTAGGTTCAGCTCCACCAAGAACTCCAAATATTTACCAACTCCGTCCACAGAGGTCACCTAGTGCTTCCAGAACACTGGAATATCATAACAGCACTAATAACCACAACGAACATTCTAAAATCAGTGTCAATTCCAATTCTGATAGCAATCTTATGAACAGGTAGTTAAATCTGAATAAAGTTAAAATATTTGCTTATACAGTTTGATTGGTGTAAAGCTAAATACAGAAACGCAAAAAAGGAATGTACATTTCTTATTTCCTTTTTTTTGTTGAATTACAATCTTTGTATTATGCACATATTCAGTAACTAAATTATTTTTTAAAAGATGGATGTTTAGAAGGCAACACAGTAGTTGTCGATTCTAGTTGCAATATATTTTCAGAATACTTTCATAGTATTTTTTTGACTGATTTGTAAAAACTAATAGGTACCTCTTTTTCAAGAGTGATTTCATTTGATTATATTCTATGATAAAGATATGTATTGTTTTAGTGGAAATAATTATATCGATTTGTGTTATCTCATTTGTGATATATAATATTTTTATTAGCCAGTTAATTGTGACCTTAGATTCAATTTTGTTTTGAAGTAAAATGCCACTTATAACTATTTATTATATATTGACCAAATATTTAAAAGCGCGACGAATATATTCGTCAATACAAAAAATTCTTCAACTTCTTCATGAAGAGTATATTCGTCAATCATAGTTAGCTGGAAAGAATGGAACTTCATTTCCTGATAGCAACTAATATTTTTTTACAATATATAAAATCGATATTATATCATTTATATTATTTTTTACAAAAACTGACTATTATCTTTTATCCACAGACGTTCCGTCCATTATCACCAGTCTACTACCTCTCTGCACTCAGATAGTCCCAGCAGTAGTTCTGCATCACCAGCTCCGAGTCCATCACCAGGAAGTGGTGTCTCGGTTCAACCGCCCTCTCTCAGAGCACCACCTCCAAGGGTTCCAAGGCGTACCACAGCCTCTTTAGGAAAACGGTGGAGCTCTACAGGAGATTTTGGAGCCGCTGGCGGCAATTCTTCCATATCGAGGTTTGTTTGAAATAAATGAAAATATTGTTACAAGTATTAAACTTATAGTCCAGTCCATAGATAAACAAGTATATGGTCCAGTCATTATAGTAAGTTCACATCGGAATTCGAGATATACCCAGCTGTAAGTCTGTAAATACTTGTATGTTGACATCCTAAAGTTGTCTCAAAACCTACATATAGTAGGGTGTCAATACCATATGTAGTTTTGAGACCACTTTAGGGTGTCAATATACAAGTATTTACATACTTACAGCTGGGTATCTCGAATTTCGAGATTCTTACCTAATTTAAGCCTAAATGACTGAACTATTAAATCATTTTACATATTGATTGAAGATATCAAATTTTGCTTAACCATTATATTAACCATTAAAATTTGTGTAAATTGTTAAAAATACAAAAATGTTTGTAATGCAATGTTGTATGAATTATCTTCACAACTGATCACGATAGTCAGGCGTATTTTTATAATTATTTTAGTTATTTCTTTTATATGTTTGTTTTATTTTTTTATAATATTATTTCTAGATTCAACACAAAGTCTTTATTGAATTTATATGGTAAACCCACACAAAATGGAACGCCATCCAGAAGTTGGTATGTGTTATTTTTTTTGTTTATTAGCTTTATTTATTTATAATTTTACTAATCAGTTGTTTATATCTAGTCGAGCAATTACTTATTTATTTTCGTTCATTTATTATTTATATCACAAAGTAAATTCTAATTGATTGCGTCGCATTAATGATGTCTTAAAAAAATTTTAAAATGCGGCAAGGTGCAATGATAAGTATTTAATATAGGTTTTATCAATAACCAGGTACGATTCTGATAGGATTCTCATAACCATTAGGCGAGAATCTACTAATAATATAATTTTAATAACATTCATATTTTTCTGGTAAAAATCTAACAATAATGTAATAAGTGAATTATGTGATAATCTAATCAAGTTCTTCTCTAGTAATATTCTACTACAATTCTGGTACGAGTCCAACCATATTTTTGTGAAAATGTAGTAGGAAGTATTGAATTATTTTAATGATTTTAATTAAAAAAGTACGATTGTAGATTGTAAATTTTGTTACCAACAAAATCTTGCCTCCTTTTTAAAGCCGATGCCATTTATGTTCTGATCTCATTGATCATTGATTCTATTATTCCATAGTTCTGCCAATTTACTTTATTTAATGAAATTTATCATTTTACCGGAAATAGGTGTCACTAGGTCATTGGTTATTGATTTTGGTTATTGAAGTTCACCCACATGACAATTGTCCCACGTAAACATAATACAATTATACGAATAAAAACAATAATTATTTGATAACTTACGTTCCATGACATCTGTGTTTTTGTACATGATGATACATTATTAAGTCATGGTATTATCTAGTCAAACAATTCAGTGTCGCACTTTGTTCAACATACATTTTCACCTACACTATTTTTACGGTATGATGACTTGTGCTTACAATTAAAATGATACCATTATAATTATTGAATAAAAAAATATATATGTAGCTAAATGCTATCGCAAAGGCCAAGAGAGCTAATTTTGTTTTGAACCGACACTTTGTATATTCGTATATTTTATTTTTTTGCTCAAGTTTTAAAATACAAAATTATTGCAATAACTTTTCATTTATTCAGACCCGAACGGTCCTGGATTCTTCGTTCCAAAATACGCGATTTGAAATAGACACATTAAAAACAAAATTACTACAGTTATATACATAATATACAGTTACTACGTAATTACTAAAGTTAATTGTGAAGTAAATTATATATATTTTTATACAATGCTTAAAGCCAAAAAAGGCCGACTGAAAGATATTCATATTTCTGGATGATATAAAAGTTTTCTACTCACAATACTTTGTAAATAATTCTAATTAAATTTAATTATTTATTTTAAAATAACCTAATTATTTTCATATTCTCAAAGTATTTGTTAAGTCTATATTTATTGAAAAATAATTTTTAAAATCATTTTTAATTTATTTAAATTAATTAGCTACTTATAGTATTCATGCCGATTTTAAAATGAGGATCCATGATCAATTTTTCTCAAAACGTGTTTCTTAAAATATCAGAATGATTTCTGGGGGAACGTGATATTTAGAGTTACAAAATTTTCTTATTCAACTTTTCTTTTTAGAAAGTGCACTACTGTTTTTTTATATTCTCATAGTTTTTGTTAGGAACAATTTACAGTAAAAAATCATTTTTGTTATTTAAATTAATTGCCATATTTATTTAAGACGTGTTTCTTAAAATATCATAATGATTTCTGGGGAAACGTGATTTTTTAGAGTTACAAAATTTTCTTATTAAACTTTTTTTTATTAGAAATTGCGCTACTGATTATTTATATATTCTCATAGTTTTTGTTAGGAACAATTTATAGTAAAAAACATTTTCAAATTCATATTTATTAAATAATAAGGACATGGTCACCTTTATTTAACACGTGTTTTGTAAAATGTAAGAATACTTTCTGAGGGAAAGTGATATTTAGAGTTACAAAATTTTCTTATTATATCTTTCTTATTAGAAAGTGCGCTACTGATTATTTTTATATTTTAGTTTCAGTTTAGTTTTTGTTAGGAACAATTTATAGTAAAAACCATTTCAAAATTCATATTTAATTTATTTAAATTAATTAGCTATAAAATTTTGCGTCGATTTTTTAAAAAATGACATGGTCACCTTTATTTAAGACGTGTTTCTTAAAATATAAGAATACTTTCTCAGGGAAAGTAATATTTCGTAATTTAGTTTTGGAGATAACTGGGCATCCGATTTGAATGATTCAATAAACATTTTATTTGTATTGATGAAATTAGGTATTGATCAAATTTTTAAGAATTCAGATCTAGTGGTTTCAAATATCCAATCAAACAAGAAGAAAATGTCGTTTGGCTGTCAAAAATGATCATTAGGACATATTCACATCAAATTATCAGATATTTTACAGAGATTTTAATAACAAATACAAATTTTTGTTTACATTTCTATGGGTTCCATACTAAGATTCATATTTTTTTTTCGTATAAATTACAATCTGTCTATATAGGAAAACATTTAGTAATTAATTTTATAAATAACATAGAATTTTAAGAGAAAAACGCAGTGGTTCACCTTTTATTAATGTACTAAATTTTGTCTAAATTAAGTTTTGGTATTAAGATTCATAATATTTAATGTTTAAAAAATCGAAATTTTAAAAAAATTCTAATTCAAGAAAATTGAATTTTTTCAATACATCTTAATATTTTAATGCTATTTTTTTAAATTATGATACGGAAATTTCCAGCAATTTGCCTCAAGGCACGATGCCATGCACCACTAGCATATACCTTATAATGTATAAGGTAGCATATACCATATACCTTATACTACATGTATAAGGTCCTGAGGAGATTTTAATAACAAATACAAATTATGTTTACATTTTTATGGGTTCCATACCAAGAGTTATAATGTTTAATGCTTAAAAAATTGAAATTAAAAAAAAAAAATCAAATTCAAGAAAATTGAATTGTTTCAATCTATCTTAAAATTTTAATGCCAATTTTTTTTAAATTATGATACGGAAAGTTCCAGCAATTTGCCTCAAGGCACGATGCCATGCACCACCAGTCTTATTAGACTTTTCTTATTACCACATATTCTTATTAGAAAGTGCGCCACTGTCCATTACCAATCCGACCGCTTCCGAGTTCCGACGAAGCCAGAAATTCAAACCTGCGGCTCGGTCACGCGACACGGATCCACGCCGCGAACCATTCGAATTGAGATCTGTTCTGTGTTCGTTTTAACATCGTGAGCACTCCTAGTTATTGTTTATAGGAAATTGGATTAGTTCAACCGTAATCTTTCAACGGGCGGCCGACTGTTGATTCGGTGTGTTTTTGTTGCTTGGAATTGTTTCGCTAATTGGTGTATCCTTGAAAGTGAGCGATTTTTATTAAGACGTATACTCTGTTGTGATATATCCAGAAAATGAGGTGAGTGCGGATTTGAAGAAATTGATAGTTTAATATTTTAATATCAGCGAAACTAGGGTTTATATAAATTGATTCTATACGAGAAATGTAACGTTTATTTTAACTAGATTTTTCGGTAATTTGGTAACAATTATTCTAAGCGTGTTATTTATAAATTGTCGCAAACGTTGATTGCGGACAGTCATGAAGCTATTTATAGTCAAATAAATAACTACAGAAGAGGTGCAGTTTATTGTCTCTTACCTGTATCATAAATTTTATTTTATTTAATTTTCATTAATTTACACGTTATCCAAAATACGCGTTATTGTTATTGTTTAGTAATATATGTTGGTAATTTAAAATATCATTATAAATTTATCTAAATTAGTATTAAATTTATTAAATTTGTCATTTTTTACTTTTATGTGGCTTACGATTTTCTTGTATCACACATAACTAGTTGGTTTAGTATGTAGCCTTGAGGCAACTTACATAAACTTCCCGATATGTTTAAATAATCGACCTAATTAATAATAAACAAATTAATTTATGAGTGATTAGAAGTATTCCGAGAGGATTACTCCGTTAACTCGGAGTATTTTCAAAAAGCAACTTTTCAAAAATCAATACATTTTTAACCAGTTTCCGTAGGATTTTTATAGTTAAGTATGTTTATTAAGACCAAGTACTATATTGTTATACCAAGTAAATCGTTTTATCTTAATTTTAGCTAACGTTAAAAAAACTACTCATATTCTCAAACTTTGATGAATTTGAACGTCCCGGCCGATCTTTACCAAAAACTAATCAGCACGATTCCCAATCAATATCTTTCGAACGGTTTTTGAATTTTTATAATCGGTTCAGAATTGCGGGCTAAAACGTAGACGAATTTTTTTTCACTTTTCTGCCATTTATAAAGAAACGTCTCGGCCGATCGTCCCACAAAACTGACAAACGATAGTCCTCGCCGAGATACATCGAATAGCTTTTAAATTTTTGAAATCGGCCCAGCCGTTTTTGAGAAAACGTCGATTTACGGGAAAAAATCTGTTCACATACACACACATACTTTTTCCAAATTTGGTCTCATTCGATTCAGAATGACTTGATACGCCGAGAAAACATAAAATTAGCGAATCGGATTTTTTATGAAAACATAAACGTTTAGTTTAGAAAAGTTAAAAAAGTTGCTCTTCCTTGATTTTTTAAAAATCTATAATTTCAAAAACTATAAGCACATAATTTGTATGCCCAATATTGCATATGATTTTGTAGCTATGAATATAAACTATTCAAATATTATTATATATTTAAAGGGCTACAAATAATATACAATATTTGATAAATGAAAATTATGCACATATATAATATAATATATTATAATAAAGTTTTTCTTTGGCGTCTATCCGATAATTGAAACTATTTTATTCAAGTAAAATGTTTTATTGTCAAACGTTTTGGGTCCTGATTTGACCTATTTTCAGTACTTACAAATAATTTGAAGAAAAAACAAAAAACACGAGAAATATAATGCATCAATTATTATAACAAGTTATTTTAACACGATTTTTAATAACTATTAAATTAAAATAAATATTA